CCGGGTTGGGCTGCGCGGCCGCGGGTCGGGCGTGCCCGGCCGGACCTCCGCATTGCAGGGGCGGGAGGACGGACGTGCCCGAGCGCTGGGTGGGAATGGAGGCCTGGGGGGAGGGGAGGGCAGCGGCCGGACTGCAGCCGCCGTCCGCCCCCGCCCGCCCCCGCGCTCTAATGCTCGCTTTTCTCTCCCCGCAGCCGCGTCCCTGAGACACGATGGTGAAGGTCGGAGTGAACGGGTGAGTTCGGGCCTGGGGTGGGGAATCGAGCCTGCGGCCCGGGTGAGCGCGTGGGTGGGGGACGTGAGTGCGGTGGTCCTACCCCCCCCCCCCCACAAGGAGAACTCAAGGTCGGCGCTCTGACCTGAAGGAGTCTCCCGCCGCAGAGGGCCTCGTGGCCCCCACCCCATCCCCGGCTGTGGCGCGTCCTGCAACGCCGCCCCTGCCGGCTCGAGCCGCCCGCAGCCTTCCCCTCCCACCTGCCTCGGATCGGAGGGAGTGCCGCCCTCCCGGCTTAGGATACATCCCCTTAATCCCCCGGCCGGGGCTTCTTTCTTTGCTTTCGCGCCCTGCGGGGTCACGTGCCGGGGAGGCGCCCCTCCCCCCCAGCCCCCCCCCCCCCCCCCCACCTCGCCGGCGCGGCCCCGGGCTCCCGGACCTCGGCTGGGTGCGCAGCCCGCCGGGACCGCTCGTTTGCGGTAACCCAGCCGCCATGTTGCAACGGGGAAGGAAGTGAAGGAACCACCGTTAGGAAACCTCCCGTAGCTCTTTACTGTTCCTTCTTCCTCGTCTATGACTAACGCTCCTCGGCCTGCCTCAGTGGGGTGGAGTCGCCTCTGTGTCCTAAGCCAGGTGAGGCAAGGCTTCCCGCAGCCTTGCTCTCGAAAGAGCTGGACTTCAGAACTCTGACCACACACCATCCCCTAAGCTGCCAACCAGATTTCCCTCAGGGATGCTCTTCCTAGATGAGCCTCTGATGAATCAGAAACCTGGCTATGGGGGAGTCCTGTGTTTTTTTCTTTTTTTCCTTTATGCGGAGAGGTGTGGTAGCTGCAGCTTAGTGCCATGTTGGGGGAGCTGAGTCATGGGTAGTTAGAAATTTTCCACCACAAAATGGCTCCTGTGGTGGCAGCCCCTGCCATCACACTGGCTCTCCTCGAAGCACCCTTCTTCCTTCGATGCCTAGAGCTGACCCAACCCTAAGGGCCAAGGCTATAAAGGTCACGGGGAGGATTAGGTGTCTGTGAGCCGTGGGCATCCTGCCCTTCTCCCCATTCCATCTTCCGGAAATCAGATCCCCACTCCACTCTAATCTGGGGTTAAATATAGCTGCCTGACCTTTCTGCAGCTGGGGGCCTGGGCTTCTACTCTCTTTTACTTCTCACAGACACACACACACACATCTGTTGCTTTTGCTTCTGATTTTTAGAAGAGGGCTTGCGAGGACAGGTAGCTTCGCACGCTAGAGCCCTGAGATTGGGGGTGGGGAAGTGCTCCTTTTACTCCTCTTTCCGTTTTGGAGGAAGGGATGGGCTTTCCCCATCCAGTTAATTTCTGACCTTTACTGTTGCCCTTTGAGCTTGGTATTGCTAAGTGTGCAAGTCTCTGCTGCCTGCCCAGAGGGTGTATCCTGAAGCTGCGCCAGACCAGCATAAGCATACTCCGGGCACAGATAGTGGGGGTGGTAAATGCCCAGTGGCCAGACCATGTCCTGCACTGCTGTTTCTCCTGGTAGGACTTGGAGACTGGGGAGTTGGGCAGGTGTTTGAACCTAATCACCTCTTGGGCAGGCTGTAAAGCCAGGCTGTCCCGGCGGGTTTCGCAGGATAAAATTAGACCTTCTGGGACTTTTCTGGTGCCCAGGAAGTGCCATCCTCTAACCCCTGAAAGAGGAGGAGTTGGGCTGCCTCCATGCCCAGGAGGATCCGCCCCCCGCCTCATTCCTCCTCGCCCCTTGTCTTTCTCAGATTTGGCCGTATTGGGCGCCTGGTCACCAGGGCTGCTTTTAACTCTGGCAAAGTGGATATTGTCGCCATCAATGATCCCTTCATTGACCTCAACTACATGGTGAGTGCTGCCCCTGCAGGCGTCGGAGCTCTGCAGAGCCTGGCTGAAGTGCCGCCCCTCACTGCCCCTCCCCCTCCCCGCCCTCCAGGTCTACATGTTCCAGTATGATTCCACCCATGGCAAATTCCACGGTACAGTCAAGGCTGAGAACGGGAAGCTTGTCATCAATGGAAAGTCCATCTCCATCTTCCAGGAGTAAGTGTGGAAGACAGAACAGAACTTGGCTTTGAGGGAGGTACTAGGTTGGGAGGACCCCCTTGGGTGCATAGTACCTCACGTCCCTGAACTGGGCGTCTTGCCTGCCCTTGTAGGCGAGATCCCGCCAACATCAAGTGGGGTGATGCTGGTGCTGAGTATGTTGTGGAGTCCACTGGGGTCTTCACCACCATGGAGAAGGCTGGGGTGAGTGCCAGGGAGACTAAAGATGGGAGCGGTGACCCTGGGATTTGGTACAGCGGGAAGCGTGGGGACTGCAGGCTCAGACCAGGAAAGGGAGGGCCTGGATTGTCATTGTCATGACTCCTCTGCTGCAGGCTCACTTGAAGGGCGGGGCCAAGAGGGTCATCATCTCTGCTCCCTCTGCCGACGCCCCCATGTTCGTGATGGGTGTGAACCACGAGAAGTATGACAACTCCCTCAAGATTGTCAGGTAAGCTTGGCAGAGGGGAGAGGAATGGAGCAGTGGCCGGAAAATAACTGTGTGTGGCAAGATGGACCTGCTCGCCCTTGACGTGCCTCCCTCTTTTCAGCAATGCCTCCTGCACCACCAACTGCTTGGCTCCTCTGGCCAAGGTCATCCATGACAACTTCGGCATCGTGGAGGGACTCATGGTACAAGTGCTGGGGCAAGCGCGCAGAGCCCATTGATTTCTCACCCAGGATTACGTCTTTCTCTCTGCTTAGGACGCGGTCCTGGGCTGGGGGGGGGGGCTGGCCACGGGGCCCTGGGGGTTCCAAGGTCAGGTCACTCTGCCCCTTAATTCTTCCCAAGGGTGGGTGAGGTGATAAGTACTGCACAGGCCCTCACTCCTCCTCCCGCGCTTGCAGACCACCGTCCATGCCATCACTGCCACCCAGAAGACCGTGGACGGTCCCTCTGGGAAGCTGTGGCGCGACGGCCGAGGGGCTGCCCAGAACATCATCCCTGCTTCCACTGGTGCTGCCAAGGCTGTGGGCAAGGTCATCCCTGAGCTGAACGGGTGAGGCTCCTTGCTGCTTTCCTGCTCCGGGGGTCTTGGGGGGGGGGATGGGCGGAGGACTGGTGCCGACCCCGTTCCCCCTCCTCCCCCCCCATCTGTAGGAAGCTCACTGGCATGGCCTTCCGTGTCCCCACCCCCAACGTGTCTGTCGTGGATCTGACCTGCCGCCTGGAGAAAGCTGTAAGTGGGGGTTGGAGAAGGTGGTGCGCTAGGGATTGGCGTCTGGGGGAAACGGGCAAGATTGGAACCTGAATAACCACCTCGGTTGTACCTTGTCAGGCCAAATATGACGACATCAAGAAGGTGGTGAAGCAGGCGTCAGAGGGCCCCCTCAAGGGCATCCTGGGGTACACTGAGGACCAGGTCGTCTCCTGCGACTTCAACAGTGACACCCACTCCTCCACCTTCGATGCCGGGGCTGGCATTGCTCTCAACGACCACTTTGTCAAGCTCATTTCCTGGTATGGGGCCGGGTGTGGAGCAACACCTCAGGATGTGACAAGCGTCTGGCGCCCTCTGGTGGCCGGTTCGGGAAAATAGCCTTTCACTCTTGATCTTTCCAGGTATGACAATGAATTCGGCTACAGCAACCGGGTGGTGGACCTTATGGTCCACATGGCCTCCAAGGAGTAAGAGCCCCCTGGACCACCAGCCCCAGCGAGAGCAAGAGGAAGAGAGAGGCCCTCAGCTGCTGGGGAGTCCCTGCCCCAACTTACCCCGCAAAACACTGAGAATCTCCCAACCTCCACCGTTTCCATCCTAGACCCCCTGAAGAAGGGGAGGGGCTTGGGAGCCCTACCTTGTCATGTACCATCAATAAAGTATACTGTACCCAGCCAACTCTTTGGGTTTTTTAGCTTATTCCGAGGTCTGGGATAAAGGGGAGGGGAGCTAGGCTGGGTGCCCAAGAGAAATCAATCTTGCGGACAGTACCCAAGAAAGGCGCAGCATACCCCAACCAGGCGTAAGCTGCACCGGACGTCTTGGGCATAACCGAGAGCATCCCTCACAAAGGTGCGTGCACTGCACTCACTTCTAAGAGCCGTTGGGATTGGTCTTCACTTTGGCTTAGTATCCCCCCAAGGCCCCTAGGTGCTACATGGCCCAACGTGACCACATCAGAGGGCAAGTCCATTTTGTCACCAGATGACCTGGCTGCCTCTGTCTGAAAGCTGTTCCATCTGCAGCCACCTGGACGGTAACCTTGGCCCAGGAAGTCGGGCTCTGGAACTGGGCTAGCAAGTCCTGCAGCCTGACTGGCTCCCTGGCTGCCAATGGGCAGCTGCCGGGATGCAGACTCCACTCTGCCTCACAGTGGAGAGGTCTGCACGGTCACTTGCTTAGTGTGCCCTAGTTCCTCCTATCTGGGAAATGATAGGCCAGGCCCAGCCCCTCCGGGTCCTCTAGAAGGATTCTATTCGCATCAGCTGAGCATTGTGTAGCCCGTGATCAGGAGCACAAGGGTGACCCCCACTGCCAGGACTTCCGGGATGTGTGAAGGGGAGCCAGCATCTGTGGGAGGGGGCTTCAGGGGCGGCTCACAGGCCGCCACCAGCCACCTGGGCAAAGGCCCTGCGTCTACCGTCTACCTGGGGCTCAACCAGGGCAAGTTACTTACAACCTCCCCAGCCTCACTTGGCACCTGCTTGTGTGTCAGGTGATGAAGAGCAGGGCCTTACCCCCCGGAAGGGATCAGGTAGCTGCCACCAGAAAGTGCTTGAAACAGTGACACAAAAGTGTTCGATAAATACTCTCCAGTTTGATTATTATTAAAGATTCCGTTCCAACGTCAGCCCAGCCTCCCTCAGACAGGCAGACTGATGTGATGTGTCCTCGTTTGTGCGCCCCAGGTTCCCCCAAGCTTTTCCAAGTCCGGACATCTTAGCCTGTTGCTCTCAGTGCGTGACAGACACGGAGGAGGCACATCTTCAGCTGATACTTGAAGAGACGGAGACCCTGAGCGCGCACACACGCACGCACACCCGCACGCACAAGTAGCTTCACCTTTTTCTCTGCCACTCAGCGCTGACTGGGAAACAAGCAGGGGCTTCCATCTCCCTCCACGCCGCCACACCCAGTCATTCCCAGAAGCCACCCAGAACGGAGGCACTAAGGGCCCCCGAAGGCAGGCACTGCCCGGGGGAAGGGCGGCCGCCACATCTGCCGTCCCCAGTCCCCAGGCAGATGGCCGGGAGCACTAGGCCGACGGAGGGAGGACGGAGGGCACTGCCCAGTCCGTCCTCCCACCTGCGCCAAGGGGGGGGCGGCCCTCTCTCACAGCATGTGTTGCATAAGCCATGCAACCTCTAGCCTCACCCACCTCATACCAGTGCCTGGGCCAGGTAGCACCAGTACAGAATCAGACCATAAACTGGCTGAGGCCACAGAAACGGAAGGAAGGTCTGACGATCACATTCCTTACTCAGTGGAGAAAGTAAGGGACCACGATCGCTCTGGCAGCATTTTAAAGATGCGAAAGTAGCAGCCACCCACGCATGAAGGCAGGAGAGCCCCAGCTGTGGTGGGAGTCACCTGGGACGGACGGGCTAAGCCTCGCTCCAGACACCTTAGAACCCTGGAGGCCAAGGTCACAGGCAGGAAGCCCGAGGGAGGAGCGCCCCAGTCCCCAGGGGCGAGGCTTGGTGCGGCGAGACGGATGATGTTCCCCTGCTGTGAACCCCCCCACCCCTGCCTCGGTGAGTTCCCAGCACGGCGGGGCCCCAGGGCGCTGGAGGCAGGTCCCTATCTCATGGAGCTATCAGATGAGACATCGTGATCGTGATCGGAGTCCTCAGCTTCGCTTGGCGGCGGCGGCGGCGGGTCGCTAAGCGGGACCGCAGTGAAAGCAGGAGACTTTCTAGAAAAAAACACCAGTTGTCACCCTGGGGCAGGCAGGCATCCTGATGAGGAGGGCATTCCTCTCTCCCGTGGCCTTAGTCTCGGGCAGGCCGGTGAACACCATCTCAGGCAAGGACAGGAGGGCCCCCTGGGTGAGGGTGGACGCAGGGTGAGGGAAGCCGGGAAGGGGAAAGAAAGCTCTCACCCCCCGTCCTGATGGGGGATATGGTCTGTGTCTTTATCTTGGAGACTCTAGGAGGCTCGGAGTCCAGAAATATCTCAAGTCACAGGGGCACACCTGCGTGGCTCAGTCGGTGCCCACATCTGACTGTGGCTCAGATCATCTCGGGGTCTTGCTTCTCCCTCCTCCTCTGCCCCTCCCCCCACTCGTGCTGTCTCACTCTCTCTCTCTTTCAAATAAATAAAAAAAAAGAAATATCTCAAATCGCAGTATGAGAGATGTTACCCGAGCCCGAGTGCACAGGCTTGATGGCCCCAGCTTTATGTCTATCCGTAGTATTTTTGTGACTTTTTAAAATTGACTTTTTTGTAGAGACAGAACTTACACAGGGTCAAATGCACCAACTGTGGGCCTGACTTTAGATAAAAATCTGCCCCCACGCTTCTGTCCCTTGGCAGTTTTGAGCTGCTTCTAACCAGGGGAACCCCAGAGCTGGCGGCACTGGGAGGTGTCAGCCCGTCCAGCCACGAACGGACACCCACCCATCACCCCACTGCTGAGGGAGAGAAGGCTGCTGGGCTGGGCCAGACACACCAGGTGCCCTCCCACAAGAGCCCCACGTCGAGATGGGACTGAGTCTCGGGGTGCTCAGGGCTTGCCCACCGCGCTCCCTCCCTGCATGCGCCCCCGGAGGAAGACACACGGGGGAAGGTGGGCCGGGCCCCAGCCCCCAGGAGAGGTCCTCACCGGTCTCCCGACTGGGTGATGAGCCGGCGACAGGTCTCCATCTGCACGTCCAGGCCGCGTTTCATGCTGCACATCTCCATGTACTCGTGCAAGTGGCGGTTCATGTCATTCTTGGCCGTGGCCAGCTCCAGCTGTGGAAGGGGCAGGGCAGGGCCGAGCAGGTCAGCAGGGCCCTGGCCCCGCACCCCCAGGAGGCGAACACACCAAGAACACCGCCAGGCGGGGGCCCAAGCAGCCGTGGGCAAGGGCTCAGATCTAAAAACCAGTCTGACCAGCCAGAAGGCACCCCAGTACCATCATTCCTCCTAGTTTTCCCGGGGAATCTTTGCCTTCAGAGGAAGGCGGAGGTTCTGCTACGGGCCGCATTCTTGCAACAGAGCCTCCCTGAGGAGAGGAACCGAAGTGTGGGCAGGACAGAGAGCCCGCGGCGCTCCCTCCCCAGGCTTCCCGCGGCCCACGTGCAACGCTGCACTCCCTCACTCATTTGGGTGCTTCTGGAAGGCCGGCCACGGCTCTGACTCATCTCTGCCTGTGCAGGCCCAGCACCACGCTGGGAAATGACTTCGTGAACGTCGAGAAGTGGCGACAAGCCTCGCGGCACAAGGGAGACCTGCGTGCCTGCTGCCAGAGGCTCGATCCTCCCCTGATCGCTCGTCTATCGTGTGAGCCCGCAGCGCCTCACGGAAAGACTGCTGCCACGCCCAACATCAAACAGCTGAGATGTATCCCAACTCAAGAAACGTTCCATGTGGGAAACGTGGCCTCAGAATCAAGGAAATATGGCCTCCCTCACAGATGCAGAGCTGAGAGAGGCCGAAGGCGGGAAAGATCTGGGCCAGAGACAATCTGCTGCCTCTCTTTGTTTTGGGTACAAAGGACAGGGGCCAACCGAGAAGCTAAATAAAACTGCTTGGAGGTGATTTGCTTGACTGCCTGGGAGCAAAGAGAAAGGGTAGGAAACTACCCGTGAATAATCCTAACTGGATAGAGGAAACCACCCAGAACTAATCCAAACTGGACAAGGAGAGGATGGGAACTCAGGGGAAAAAAGTCACGGGGTCACAGGGCCAGACGTTAGAGATGGCGGCTGGGGGGGGGGGTGCTCAGGAGCCCTAGCGGGGGCAGCTTGCACAGCAGCTCTGGCTGCAGAGCCGGGACGCGGGAGCGAGCCAGGGCAGCAGGACGTGCGACTGCTCAGCCGGGAAGACAGGCGGAGGTCCCCCGCTCCTGCGCAGCCTGGTTGCTGCCCCCACCCCAGCTTCTCCAGCTCAGGCGAGCCAGAGGGGAAGGGGCTAGCTTCCGGAGCCCACCCCTCGCAAGGACGGGAAAGACGGAAATGAAGCAAATCTATTCTATCCAAAGACAAGGCTAGGACCGGCACCCGTTGCCTCTATACATCTGTACATGTCCCCTTCCTTCACACGCGAGGGAAGGCGGCCACCGCATGCTACAAGGTACCCAACAGCCTCCCCTGAAAACCCCAGCCTCGCGGTGGGACCGGAGGCCCGGGGAGTGCCAGGACTCGACGGAGAGGAAGGAGACAGGACGGCAGGAACTCCCTCCCACCTTGCTTCCACCTGGGCCCTGGCTTTACTGCTGATAATGGGCAACTATCAGGGCCAGCAGTGCACCCGAAGCCCCCTGCTAGCTCTCCCAACACCTCCTAAAGCCATCCTCCTGCAAGACAAGAGGGAGACCGCCAGATGGGTGTCCGGGAGCGGACAGAAAGTTGCTCCCCCCTCCCCTCTCCTCAGCGGGGAGCAGACACCCCGGCTGCAGGCCTTTAAAAACTCAGCCTGTCTGCCTGGGCAAGAAACAAAAGCAGGTTTGGCTTCAAGGAGCAGGACCGTGTGGAATGTGCAAGCAGGAAAATCATCTGTCAAATTCCTTCTCGAAATGCCCGGCAGTGCGAGAGCAGCAAGGGTATAAACAGGCCACGCGGGCTTGAAGAGAGGCCGAGAGTTACAGAAGCCCACGCAAGCCGGGGCGCTCGGGGCTCAGGGAAGGGCCCTCTCCAGGGCCAGGAGGCCGCCAAGAACCGTGTCCCGCCCGCCCCACCGCCCCTCGGCCCAGGGCGCCACAAACCCACCACCCACGGCCCTGCAGACCTAGCTCTAAGTTAGAGCACCAGCTTCCCTTGCCCACCCAGGAAGCTCCCTGCAGGCTAGGGAATGACAACAGAGGGTCCTCCATCCACTGAAAGGCTGAGCTGAAGAAACAGCAAAGTTCGAGTCCACTTCTTAGTGGTCTCTGCTACGGCACGGACAGTAAGCTTCCCAGGAGACAGGCACTGCCTTTCATCGGATATCAGGCAAGCCTGTAAGGGACGTACGATTAAGATCCCACCTGACAAATAAACAGGCTCAGAGGGGGTAAGCAGCCCGTTAGAAGTTGGAGGCGACAGGGCTGAGGCTGGAACCCACATCTGTCCGCCCCCCCCCCACCCGCCGCCAGAGCCTGAGGTCTGAAGGCTCCACCCCCATAAGAGAAAGGAGAAGGCCTGGCGTCTGGGGTTCCCGGGACCACAGCTTCAGAGACCGCCAGCCTTACCTCTATCTGGTCAATGGTTTCCTGATATTCTTTCTCCCGGGTTTTGAACAGGGACTCCGTATCTTTAATCACCTTCTCCAAACTGTCTTCCTGCTGCTGGTGCAGAAAAGGGAAGCAAGGGGGAGGCCAATGGGGAGGGTGGGATGGGGGCATTCCACAGGGGCCGAGGCGGGGAAGAGAGAGAGAGTCCGGTTAAAGGAGACTGGAGAAAGCCCAGAGAAAGAAAGGAAAAAGGAAGAGGGGAGAAGCAGGTGGAGGGCGGAGGCCACAGAGGGAAAGCAGCAAGGAGTGCAGGGAGGCGAGGGAGGGGACGGGGAATCCAGCTGGCGGGGGGGGGGGGGGGGCAGGACTGGCGGGGGCCCTGAGGCCGGGAGGGGCCGTTACCTCTCCCTGCGCCTCTGCGGCTGCCATGGCATAGCCTGAGAAATCCTCCCAAAGCAGCAGGGTCTCCTCAGTCTCCTCCCAAGTCAGGCTGTCACAGTCGTCCTCAAAATCATACTCCCTCCTGAAGACAGGGAACCCGCCGTCAAGGAGGGCGGGGGGCCTTTCTGCCGGGCTGGGGGGGCCTCCGGCCTCGGGGGGCGGGGTGTGCTGCTGAGGGCTGGGCCTGCGGGACTCGGGACTCACAGCTGGTTGAGCATGCGCTGCATCTCCTCGTTGATGCTGAGGGCTGTGCTCTCCTCCTCATCCCCATCGGGCTGGCGGGGCCCGTCACTCTCCGACAGGGAGGTGTCCTCCTCGATGGCAGCCTTGCGCTCCCGCTTCCGCCCCCCCATGGATGGGACCTTAATGGGAGACAAGTGCAGAGACTACAGAGACGAGGCCGGGTGCGTGAGGAGAAGGGCGGGTGGGCGCCGGCAGGGCGGGGGGGGGGGGGGGGGGGGGGGGGGGGGGAGAAGCGGGAACCAGCGGGGGGGGGGGGCGGACAGAGAGAGAAGACACAGTTACGACAACAGGAACAGAAACCGGAGTTACCGAGAGACAGGCAGACACACACGGATGGGGCAGGGCTGCAGACTGAGGAGGAAGTAAAAGGAGAAACCGGGAAAATAGGGCAGTAAGATCAGGGGAGAAATGGCCCGGGGTGACCACATCAGATGTGCATAACGGCCACAGAAGATTTGTTTTCTTTAAAAAAAAAAAAAAAAAAAAAAAGCCTTTCTAACGAAATGACTGAACTAAAAGGAAAGTTTTAGGCTGCAAGGAGGGGGAGGACGCGGCGTACACAAAGGAGAACCTGAATCACACATCCAGATCTGGGGGAGCCAGCGGAGAAGGTATAGAAAGAAATGAAGCAAAGAGGGAACAAGGTAGAGAAAAGGGGGAAGAGCAAGGAGAACGGAGACAGGAGAAGAACTCGGGGCCCAAAAGCCCAGCAGGTCAAAACTGACGGCCAAAGGCCCGGGTGTGGCTTAGAAACTGGGACTGGGATGTTAAAAAGCTTGCATGAGAGCAAAACTAACCAGCTTCTTCTGGGGAGAAAGCAAGAGAAGATGAAAGGAAGAGAGGAGAGGAGGCGGACAGAGGAGAGGGAGAGGGAGGGAGGGGAGAGACGGTGTTAGAGGCGGCTTCCGAACCTTCTCTTCAGAGGCTGTTCCTTGCCCCCCAGCCGAGTCCCACTGAGGGCCCCCAGTGCCAGGGCGAGGCCCCCCAAGAAGGAAGGGCCAGGGCCTGCGCCCCCTCCCGTGAGGAGCTGAGGCACTGGGCAGGCGTGGGCAGGGGCCCGGAGCCTGCGGGCAGCCCCGTCCCCTCACCTGGAACATCTTGATCATGTCCTCACAGTTGCGCTGCTGAGCCACATCGCACAGCTTGGCGGTGATGTCGATGCGGCGACAGATGTCCATGTCTACCTTCATGGCCTTCTCCTGGATCTTTGTGTCCAGCTCAGACAGGTTCTGTCCAGGGAATGCGGGGCACAGTGAGGCGGCCGCCGGCACCCCAGACAAGGCCAAGACCCTCATCCCTGCAGTCGCACACCACTGCTGCCCCCCTTTCCTGGATGCCCTCCCCACAGCACTCCTGGGCTGCTCAGGCCACTGGTCAGACGGGGAGCCCTGGAGGGCACGGCCCAGGACCTGCAGGGGCTCCCCCCTGGAACTTATGCTCCCAGAGGGAGAGACCACAGGGAGTTACAAGAGTGGAGGAAGTATTGCAAGAAGAAGGATGGCCGACACTTATTCAGCATGAGGTCTGGGCCAGCACGGTCCTAAGTGCATTATCATCTCCGCAACCAGTCCGCCTCTGCCACGCCAAGACTTGCGCACTGGTTTGCGGTGAACGCACGTGTAGTGAAAACCCTAGCCCGATGCAGCAGACCCTGCCTGTGGCCAGGGGGTGCCTCTTAGCTGCTTGTGGTCCTAGTCTGGGAGTTCTGGAGCCTGGGAGATGCCGCTTCTAGTTCCCAGCCACCGGATGAACGGATTTTTCCTACTCTGATTTCCCTCGCCCTTGGGGTTTGGGTGCCTGGGACCCCCAGGGTACATGCCTTTCCAGTCCCATTCCACAGAGGAGGGCACAGAAGGCCTTCACCAAGGCCACCCTGCAGGCAGCTTGCAGAGCCGGGGTCCGGCCCCTTAACTAACCGCTTGACAGGCCATACTGCCTCTCGCGTATGACACCAACACCCAAGCATTTGTTCCTTCCTTTCCTCTTGAATGAGGGTGGGGTGGGGGGCCGGCCGGGGGGAGACGGAAGCACAGCAAGGTGGGTGAGGGCTGTGGCCAGGAAATCCACAGGCCCAAGCCAGAAAGGCCTGCTCTGCCCGGTCGCAGGCGTGAGGGGGCTGCACTCACATTGCTCATGAGCCCCTTGAAGACCACCAGCTCAGCTTTCAGTTGCTCCACCTTCATGGCCAGCTCCTCTTGGCAGGCATCGGCCTCCTGGGCTTCCTGCAGTCAGGGAGAAAGCCCCATGAGCGGTGCTGCCCACGCGGGAGGCAGGTGCCGGCAAGGAAGGACCCGGAGAGGCCCGGGTGGGGGGGTGCAGCGGGGGCGGGGGGGGGCAGCCCTCACCTCCTGGAGCTCGTTCACTCGCTCCTGCAGCTGTATCCGCACAGTGTACTCCTCTTCCCACCTGGCAGACATGGGGGACAGGGAGGGAGCCTAGGTGCAGGGTCCCGCCCCGGCGGCTCCCCGCTCCTCACCCCTCCGGCTCAGGCCTCTCTCCCACTCTAGCTCTGGTGCCCGGAGTGCCCAGGGGCCATGGGTAAGGACCAGCCGGCCCGTGGGTGGCCAGCCACAGCTGTCGGGTGGCTCCACGCTTCCTGGCAAGTGCAAGCCCGCCTCCTGCCTGCCCGGCAACTCTGGGCCGCGCCCCAGGAACCGTGTAAGACTAACTGCTGCCACTCTGCTCCCTTGCAGCGCCCATCCCGCTCAGGCCCTGGCTCAGCCAGCTGCCCAGCTGGCCTCCTCCCCGCTCAGGCCCGCACCAGACCCCCGGCCACCTTCAGGGGCACAGATCCGGTCTCCCGCCTCCTGCCCACACCAGCCCAGGGCTCCTCCCGTGGAGCCGTGTCACCCTGAGAGGCAGCTGCAGGACACACACCACATCAACAGGGTTGGTCAAGAGCCTGGTAGGAGACACTCAAAATCCATCCCCCCGCAAGCTCCAGAAACTGCCCTCCCGGAGCCCCGTCCGGGAGCCCTGGAGAGATGATGGGGCTGCTCCTGAAGCATGAAAGCAGTGGGAAGCAGGAGCCTGGGGGTCCCAGGCACCCAAACCCCAAGGGCGAGGGAAATCAGAGTAGGAAAAATCCGTTCATCCGGTGGCTGGGAACTAGAAGCGGCATCTCCCAGGCTCCAGAACTCCCAGACTAGGACCACAAGCAGCTAAGAGGCACCCCCTGGCCACAGGCAGGGTCTGCTGCATCGGGCTAGGGTTTTCACTAGACGTGCGTCCACCACAAACCAGTGCACAAGTCTTGGCGTGGCAGAGGCGGAAGGGCCGAGCTGGGGGCAGCACGCTGCTGGGGGATTCAAGACTCTGCGAGGGTGCCCGGGCTGGGAGAACTTCTCAGACCCCGTTCAGACAACCCATCACCTCCTGCCACTTCTTCCAGGCTGAGAAAGGAGGGCACGGGACCACAAGAGAAACCGTGGGATCAGAAAGGTGGCCAGAAGCCACAAAGAGGACAGCAAGGAAACGAAAGCCTGACCAAGCAGATTCTGCAGACGTGGGACTCTGTCCTCCCTCCCCCGCCTCCATCTCTCCCCCACCTCGCCCTCCTCTCTCCTCTGGGCTCTGACCACAACCTCTTCCCTCCATGCCCTCCTGCTCCTCACTGGGCTCTGCACTGCAGTGTTCCTAATAATAACTCCTCTGCGTCACCCACTGCCCCTCCCTCGTGGGCAGGGGCGAGGCAGCCAGCCCGGCCGCCACCCTGCCGGCCCGTCATGCAGCCCAGGTCCTGGGCCCGTTGGCTCTCTGCCCACCCTTCCTTGCTGTCCCCCTGTCCTTCCTCCTTTTGCTCTGGTATTCTCCATCAGATGGCTGGGGCCGGTGAGGGGCCCTAGCAGCATCAAGTTATGTATTTTCGTAGATAAGACATATTTATCTTTTCTGGGTCTGTGGTTTCTTCATCGACAACCTGAAGGCATGGGATGTGGTACCCTCATACCCCTGAGTCTGTGAGTCCCTGGAGGAAGCAAGACTGGCAAGGGGACAATGACCCTGGGCAAGATGCATCAGGAAGGGTAGGAAGCAACAAATTCAGGTAGAAATTTAAGTAAGGAAGTTAGGGGGGGATTGAGATGAACAAAATCTTACAGAGTAAAAAAAAAAAAAAAAAAATCTGAAAATAAATCATCTGGAAGCTTACTAGAATTCTTTAAAGTTTATTTATTTATTTATTTTTAGTAATCTCTACACCCAGTGTGGGGCTCAAACTCACGACCCTGAGATCAAAAGTCACATGCTCTCCTGACTGAGCCAGCCCGGTGCCCCTGGAAGCTTACTAGAATTCTACTTGTTCTCCAGCCAGACTTTCCCACAAACAGGTTCCTTCTGACCTCCATTCAAATCTGGTCTCACTTACAAGGTTCCCTTGACATGAGTAGGATTTAAGGAATTTCCGTGTATTCTACCTTTACTAAAGACCTCCCTCCCAAATAAACGGTATCCTTGAGCAAAGTGAGGAAGCAGGGTCCATTCCTACACTGGAGAAAGGGAGGCCAGGAGGAAGAGATCCACCCAAGGTTGCACATAGCAGGGGAGCTGAAAACAGAACCCAGGAGGCCTCAGCTCCTTCCCAGTTTAGTGCTCAAGCTATCCCCATGCCTTCTGGGCCACGGACAGGAGCCACGGTGTTTTAAAGCGAACAGAACGAGGGCACAGGATCTGGGGTGGAAGAATGAGTAACTGCCAGTGTCACGTACCATACAACTCTAGCTGCGGGGCCCTCTGCACAGCAGCATGCTGCAGAGCGATGAGCTCATCAATCCCCAAGGAATAACTCTCTGCTGCCCTGGACAGCTGGACCAAGGACAAACACTCTTTCAGTTAAGAAAAAACAAATACCCAAGAACAGCAGTTGTTTCTGTGGTTATGGATGCATTCCAGAACTGTCCGTGTTCTGCTGCTGACCGTGTTAATTAACTCCTACAGGGGCAGGGGCTGGGGCAGGCTGGTTCTGGGTGGCATCTGAATGACGGCTTTCAGAGAACTGGGACTCCCAGAGGCACTTATAACATGGGCTACGGCGAAGGGAGCCAGCCCGAGGACAGGACTCACCCTCAGAAAGCCTACAGATCTGAGACCTGCTGGACTCCGGCAGACCCAGAGGCAAGCTCCTGGAACACGCAGCCAAGCCCCAGCCAACGCACCGGCGTCCGCTACCCAGGGCTGCTAGGGTAGTTTCCAAGCCTGCCCACAAGGGGTCAGAGGAGCCCATTAAGAGGTTCAAGCTGATTGCTCCCAAAATAAAGCCTCCTTCTGACCTGTCATCTCCCTCCTCAACCATGGCATCCGTCACCGAGTCTACAGAGAGCTGGCTGTGCTCACGCTCCCTCCTAATGGCTGGGTTATCAGGCCTCTAAGGGAGCCACTTGGTATACAGCCAGCACCAGCATCACACGTCCCTTCCCCTGGCCCCCTGTGCTACCCTGCCAGTCCCCTGCAGAAAGCCAAATCCTCATCCTCGGAGAGCACTGGGCCTGCCCCCCAGATGCCTTATCCTCACAGGGTGTGTCCAGATTCTCAACTTTCCCCCACTCAGTTCCTCTGCTGGCTTCACCCACATTTTGTCATCCTTCGGCTCTTTGCACTTTCAGAGATGCCCCCAGCTTCCACAAGCCCTCTGACAACTAGCAGTCCCTTCCCCTTTCCCTAGGGAATCCCTTTTCCCTTTTTTCTTTATTTTACTTTTCTTTTATTGACTTACTTCAAGCAATGTTCTGAGGTCCCAGAGCCTTTCATATGGAACTGGAGTAGGTACCCAGTTTCCATCGACATCACTTCGGGAAACCCGGAGCAGTGGCAGGATCGCCCACTGCCAGATGCAGCGCCCCCGCCCCCCTCACCACTCCCTTCTAATTTCACTTAGATTCCCAAATGAAAACGATTTATCCCTGGTCTCTTACTTTTGATCAGTAATGTGGAGCATCTATCACAAAACTGCTCTGGGGGCTGCGCCTGGAGAGGCAAAGTAGTACCCCAGATGTGACCTCTCAAACGCGTGTCCCTTTCACAAGGCACACAATCCCACAGTGAACACAGTCATCCAAACACTGCAGCCTAGATGAGACAGAAAGAAAAGCCACAAGAAAAATATGTATGCCCCACAGTACTCCGCTCCGAGTATCGTTCTTCCTGTCACGAGTGCGACTTCTGCATTCCCTGTGGATCCCCCGTCTTCCTGTACCCAACTCCGTCTACTTCCAAGCTCCTCCTTACACAGCAGGCACTTTACTCTCATCTTATTCCTCCCTGATTCTTGGGCCGCACTGCTCTCTCTCTCGGATCCACACCTGATCTTGGCCCCACGTGTGGCATGACACTGAACCCCGTCCCCACCTTCCCGGTCCCCTACCTCCGCTTGTACTCGTCCCGCTCGCGCTTCACTTTAGCCAGGACGTTGTAGAGCGCGCGGATCTCGGGGGTGATGGTGTCGATCTGGACGCCCACCCCGTCGGGATGCACCCACGACAGGCCAGGCCCTTGCACCAGCGTGGGCTCCAGTCCCGGACCGAGACGGCGGGCGTGAGAGAAGGACCAGATGGTGCCGGGCATGAAGCGGGCTGACGAGGAGTAGGAGGTGGAGGTGGAGGTGGAGGGCGACGAGTGGCAGGCCGCGGAGGGCACGAGGGGGCCGGCTGGCGAACGCGCGGGCGAGCCCAGCACCCGCGCCGAAGGGGTGCAGACGGCGGCGGGCCGGGCGCTCAGGGGCAGCCCCAGGGGCCGGATGGGGCTGACGAAGCCGGTCTGCACGGCCTGGTCGCGGCGAGCCAGGCCCCGCCGGCCCTGCTTACCCTCCTCCAGCGCCTGCTGCAGCTGCTTCTCCAGCAGCCGGTTGCGGCGCTCCAGCTCGTGCACCTTGGCCAGGAAGCAGCGGAACCGGAGGTTCAGGGTCTTGAGCACGTTGATGTTGGAGCCCAGGTCGTTGCGGAGAGCCATGGCGGCGGGGGGCGCCGGGCCCGGCCCGGGCGGCGAGTAAGCAGCCGGGCCGGCCGGGGCGAGCGGCACCGGGGACACGTCCCCTCCCCCGGCGAAGTGGTCGCCTCCCAGAGGGTCCCCCAGCGGCCCGGCCAGGCCTTGCTGCTCCTGCTGTAAGAGGAAGAGGTTGGGGCCGAATAACGGATTCATGGCTGCGTCTTCTGCTGGGAGACGGAGACCGCTACAGGAGCAGGGATGGAGGGCGAGGGAGAAGAGCCAATGAGGCGCCAGGGGGACGCGGCGCAACCAATCAGACGGCTCGACGGAAGGGACAGAGGTCAGGAGGGCGGGGCAGGGCAGAGAGGAAGCCAATGAAAGGTTCAGTTGGAGGCTGGCACCTGGAGCTTTCCGGGTCCGACGCCGAGCGGACCCGCCGAGCGGACCCCAGTCCACATGCCCGCATGCCAGGGTGGCAGAGAAATAAAACCCAGATCCCTCAGTATTCCATGGGTTCTGGTGGCAGGATGCCCATCCTCCCTACACCCCTATTGCCCTCCTCTCCCCAGAGTCCAAACACCCTAAGCTGACTCCAGGACTCTCCCTCCCTGGGACCCTGAGGAGACCAAGGGAGCCCAGGAGCCTGAAACGGATTTCTCAGTATACCAGTTTCCTCTCTTCCGAGGGGCCCTGTCCCACCCTCCCACCACTACCCTTAAAGCAGCAAAGCCAGTACCCAGTCCCTCAAAAAACACAGTGGCCAGAGATTATAAAATGTGTATTAGTTTTCATATACACAGTGGGGATGCCAACCTCACAGAGGTAAGAGTTCCAACCCAGTGCCCACAGCAATGAGCCACCCCAGTCTAGTTTCAACCACTCATCTAAGACAACACTGGATGGCTGCTGCCTCTAGACTGAGACTTTCTCCTCTTTGCTGCTGGGGGCCGGCTGGAACCACGGGAGGACATGGTGGAAGTCTCCAGTCCCTTGGGGGTGCCATTCTGTTTCTGGAAGGCAGCTCTCCTGGAAGGCTGTTCTGGCAACTGCTGCTTTACCTTCTCAGTCCCTTTGGCGTTTTGAAGGGACTGATCACAGTCCTCAGGCTTGAGAGTGGCCTGGGTCTTGGAAACGGACACTTCTGTGTCCGTGCCCTTAGGACCATTCTGCTTCCGGAAGGCGACTTTCTTGGAGGACAGTGGCGTAGCTGACTTTTGCTTTAGTTTCTTAGCCGCCTTTGGTCTCCTGATCACTTCAGCTTCTCGAGCTGGCTGCCTGCTGTCTTGGACCTTGGAAGAAGCTTGGGACTTTGTGTCACAAGATACAGGGGACAATCCTGAGTCTGTCCCTTTGGAGATGCCATTCTGCTTCTGGAAAGAGGCCTTCTTGGGATGTTGCCGTTTCTCCAACTGCTGCTTTGCTTTCACAGCCACTCTGGCCTTCTTGGCAGGCTGGCTGCTGCCCTCAGGCTTGGGGGTCACCTGACCTTTCACCTCAGGCAAGTCTAGGTTTGTAGGGGTGGATGCTGCAGAATTTCCTGGGTTAAAATTAAACATGTGGCTTAAGAAAATGGGCCTCATCACTGGGACTTGATCTTAGTGGAGAAAGTAAGCAGCGGTATCAAGATAGGGAAACTGCCTGACTACTGTCAGCCAAGTGTGCCACACAGTTGGGGTAGTACCTAAGAGCAGACTACCTACATTCATATTACTTCATATCACTTGGCCTTTATTCAAGTCACATTTGAACCTTGTATTAAAGAGAAAGGGACCAAAAAAGTAAAGAATGAAAGAGAGAAAGAAAGAGAGGGGAGGGGAAGGAAGGAAAGGAGGGAAGGAGAGAGGGAGGGAGCGAGGGAAACCATTATTGATCCTTGGGCAGAAAGTTTTCAGAGGAAGCTGTGCCCCCTTGAGGACAGCAGGTCACATGACACTCTAAGGAGGTGAATCCTGAAAAATCCTAAAGCACTGGGCTTTCTTTTTAAATTAGAGTTTTTTGTTTTTTTTTTTAATGTGGATTTTGATGAGATGCGAGAAAAGAAGTCACACACAGCAACTAGAAACAGGCCAGTAAGGCACAAATGAGAAATGACATTAAATACGTACTTTTAAAGGTAGAGTGGAAAAAAGTTACAGCAAATTTTGCCAGTTCTTAAGGTTTCTCTTAATATTCAGATGTGACTTCTGTGAGGAACATTATTTATAAAGAGAAAAAAGAAATCAGGGTGCCTGACTGGCTCAGTCTGAAGAGCATGCAACTCTTGATCTCAGGGTCATGAATTCAAGCCCCATGTTGGGCAGAAATTACTTTTAACTTTTTTTTTTTTTTTTTTAGATTTTATTTGACAGAGACACAGCGAGAGAGGGAACACAGCAGGAGGAGTGGGAGAGGGAGAAGCAGGCTTCCCGCTGAGCAGGGAGCCCATTGTGGGACTCGACCCCAGGACCCCGGGACCTGAGCCGAAGGCAGACGCTTAACGACTGAGCCACCCAGGCGCCCCTTAAATAAATAAACTTAAAAAAAAAAAAAAAAAGAAATCAACTCAGTAAGTCACAGTCTGTATTCAGAGAAACTCGCCTCTCCCTCTTCCAACTAAACCCAGGATTCTATCCCAGCATGCAGAACTGCGACGCCTGTTCCAGAAAACCCCACCCTTCCGGAGATTCAGGCCAGACTCAAGATGGCTGAGAAAAAGATCTGCAATTAGCGTGATGGACTCAGAGAACTGCTGATGGTTCCGAGGAGTCTTGTGCCAACCTGATGCTGACAATGCTGGACCAGCAGAGGTCCGTTACCAGGAAGGCAGCCCTTGGCCAAGAAGGAAAAGAAACCACAACTGCACTGGGAATGCATTTAGTGCTTAAAGACTGCAGCCACTTGGCTGAATCAAGCAAAAAGGTCCCCATCTGTACGAATGCTTTCCCATATACTAAAATGGGGTACAGGCTCAGGAACGATTCTAAGTGGGATGAAAGAGGCTTCTCATCCAAGCATGCAAAGGCTAGGATAAGGAAAGCAGAAGTCCCTTCCTTCCCTGCAGTCAGACGCCTCCTGAAAGGTAAAAAAAGAGCAAAGGTGGTGATGAAGGGCAGAAAGAGCAGACTGCTTACCTGTTTGGGATTGGGGGAGAGAATTAGAGAATTTCTTGAACTTGGCAATAAAGAAACCATCCATATTGTGGGTGTGAGGGTAGAAGCGGCGGGTAGAACGCAGGGTAGGGTGGAAGCGCCTTTCTCGAAAGCGAGTAAAACCCTCCTGGCCAAAGTCTAGACCTGTGGGCACCAACCGCACGTTCCTCTTTTTCAGGGCATAGTCTACCACCCACTCATTCTCTTCCACCTGGACATGTGGGGGAGACAAAAAGAAGGAAAAGCAGAGCTGGAGCTGAAAGGAGCTCTAAGGGGCAAACAACCTCCTAGCCCTGTCCCCTCAGCTCTGCCACAACAGAGGCCTCACCATGATGGAACAGGTGCAGTAGACTAGGTAGCCTCCTGTCTTGGACGTGGCATTGACAGAGTCAATAGCACTCAGAAGCAACTCCTTCTGAAGGTGAGCACAGCGCAAGATGTCCTTCTCATCCTGTCCCAAGGAGAGACGGATGCAAGGGTGTCAAAATTTCAAAAAGACAGCCTCAGGAGAAGAGATGAGCTATTAACTGCTCAGAATGCTCCTCCACCTCCCATTCCAGCTCCGTAAGGCCCAGCCAGACCTCTCAGCTGGTCCTGAGCCCCACTCCTAGCCCCACCCCCAACTCCTCACCTTGTTAGTCTTCACAGCTGGGTCTTTGGAGATGACCCCAGTGCCACTACAGGGAGCATCCAAAAGTACTCGGTCAAAGCCCCCCACCACCTGGGGAAAAAAAGAGTATAAGGTTAATTAGGCATTTTTGGCAATCTGAACCACACCACTAATTTCCCAGGGGCAAGTCTAAACCTGTGAGGTCAGGAAGGGGACAGTGAATTGGAAGACGCACAAGACAGACGCACAGAGGGGAGCCGCACCTTGGGAAACTGGCGCCCATCGTAGTGGCTGATGATGGTGTTGGTGACTCCCAACCGGTGCAGATTTCCCACAACACTCTTGAGCCGCTCAGCATTGGCATCGTTGGCAAGAATCACACCTGTGTTCTTCATCAGCTGGGCTGAAGAGAGAGAGGCACAGTGCTCACCAGCCAGTTCCTCTGCCCCCACACCTGCCAGCCACCCTCCAGCCCAAGAACCCACAGCTGAATTCTCACCACTGCAAAGAGACTTCACTCCCAATAAGCCTCCTCCCCACTGTCTACTGTACAGGTCTGTCAACCCGCACCCACTGAGGAGCATGACTGCCAGTGTGGTTTGTTTTGTTACTGAGCACCTTTTTGGTCCTACAGACTAACTTACTTCTTCTAAGTCATAACAACTTAATAAAATGGTTATGACTAGTTATGTGCCAAACACTTTGCTAAGGACTTCTAAAAGCTTATCTCAACCCTAACAACCCAGGTACGATATAACCGCCAAGCCAAGCACAGTTGCTACCCCATTTAAAAGAAGAAGATCAGGGGCTTGTCCGAGGCCATACAGATAATTGGTGGCACATGGGGCTGGAACCCAGGCCAACTCCAGAGCCTATACTCCTCCCCACTCTGTGAATTGCTTGTGCACTGTTTTCTTGAGCACTAGAGAGGCAGCGACCCCATTTACTTCCAGAAGCAGAGAGCCAAATGGTTCCTCCTCCTGCCTGCCCTTCTCATACCTATGTAGCTAGTCTTTCCTCCAGGGGCACAACACATGTCCAGGATCCGCTCGTGCTCCTGGGGTGCCAAGGCCATGACCGGCAGCATACTGGAGGCTCCCTGAAGCATATAGTGCCCAGCCAGGTACTCGGGGGTTGCACCTGCGGAGGAGGACCTGTCTGACACGCTGGGACAACGGCAGGGGCAGAAGGGGCTATCGGGCAGGGAACACTTACCAATGGGCACAGAAGAATCATATACCACCAGTCCAGTCTTTGACCACTTGCCCAGGGGATCCAGGTTAACTCCACGATTAATCAGCGCCTGAAGATAAGAAAGATAAAGATTTTAAAACTTTGTAGGCTACTATACCCAGAAAACAGGTGGAAATACGAAAATGTGGTTGTACTGAGGCCCATGGCATGGCAACTTCCAGAGCTTGTAGTTACAACACAATCATCACAGACTCTTTGACCTCAGCCTCTCCCACACCATCCTCTGATGTCCTCTCCCTTAGCCTCAGGCTCTAACTCAAGGT